ATCCCACTGAGAGAAAAAAAGGTAAACATTAGACTCTTGATATTAGAAAAATTAATGTGCATCCATGTGATGATTTACTAGTAGTCACTTCTCATTTTGCTAACACAAAATATGGAATCCAGATCATGGAGCCTGGGATACAGCAGTGTGACTCTTGCGAGTAAGTGTACCTAAATTTTTACCCAATCTCAGTTCAGCTTGGCGGTTATTCTCAAGTCATCATTCTCTATTCAGTAACTTTCAAAAATACCTCAAAGTTGTCACTTAAATTTTTCAGTTATACATTTCTTAATTTATGGAAATCATTTAATATATAAATTATGCTATGAATTTAGTGAATTTTGAAGTCCCTGGAAATGTGTCCCCTGGGAATGTGAAAACTCTAGTATAGTATTTACTCCTGCCCCACGTTGATTACAATCTAGTTTGAGGGGTCAAGTCTTACCATTCATGCGTGCATTCCTCAGTCAGGTTTTGAGGACATAATGTGTAACAGCACTGTCTGGAAAAACTTAGTAAATAACTGAAGATGGTCTATAATTTAAATGCTGTAGGAATTGTTTGAAGAGGTGAGCAGTAAAGGGAAAACTAATAGGGAAGATATATCAGATGAGCCATGTGGGGAAGTTCCCTTTTGAATCTCCAGTTCTTTAGATCAGAAGTCTTCCTCTCCATATCTGTGGTCAATTTTCAGCCTTTCAAGTGTACACAACCATCAGTACTTAAGGCAGTTCTCTATTCTAAAACTCTTCTTCAGGATTTCCTTGGCAAGGAAATCAGCAAGGAAATAGTTATTCAATCTATCAGTTTTTATTTTTATTTAGTGATATTAAAGAAGAGATCCAGAGCTATTTTCCCCCCCTAGGATTTTCAGGAGAACCTAGAGAAATTAACAATTAAAAAAATCACAGAGGGGAGGGGGTGGGGGGATGGGTTAGCCGGTGATGGGTATTAAAGAGAGCACGTACTGAATGGAGCACTGGGTGTTATACGCAAACAATGAATCATGGAACACTACATCGAAAACTAATGATATAATGTATGGTGATTAACATAATATAATAAAAAAATTATTAAAAAAAATCACAGAACTGGAAGCGATCTAATTGCCAAGGTTTTCAGAGCTTTATAAACACTTTTGCGTAAAAGATGTCGAAAATACTTTTAAGTTCCAAAGGTATTGCGTGCTGATATTATTGAATCATTTGTTCTTTAATTCAAATGAAATCAAATTTATGCCCTAAGACTCTTCATTATAAATGGCACAGTAACCCTGGAAAGACCTTTGATTTGGAGTCGGTGTTCAACCAGGAAGAATATTAGATCCCACAAGCACGTGACTGCTCTTAGACATTGCACAGAGATCCTTACACCTGGTTATGCTTGATGACTTATAAATAGGTACTCTGTGTGAGGGCTCAATTCGTTAGTCATCTGGACTAATGAGGATGACTTTTTAAAAATTTCACCAAGTAAAACATTTCATCTGGATGAGGACTGGAAGCTACCATTCACATTGTTTACAGTGTCCTAAGTCTTCAGATGACATAGAAGCACTAAATCAGACAGGTCCAGAACAGAAACAGATATCCCATAAATCACTTTACTACTGCCTTGTTTGATTGCTGTTACTATTGAATTCTTCTGCATTGGATATCCCCAAGTTATGAAATATCAGTAGCCAGCTTTCATTTTATTTGTCCTAAAATAACTTTCATGTCTTTGAATAGGAATCAATTTTAAATACTTATTCTCAGGTATATGTTATGTAAATGACTTTGTAAGGACCAGAACCTTGTAGGGGAAAATGTTGTTTTCACTTCTATGCTCAGTGCTTGTCCTTTTAAGTTCTTAAAGAGTAGGCTGACTGATTTCTGAAGGCTTGTTGCTTGTGGGTATTCTCTCAAAATATGTCCCTTGGTTGATTAAGTGTCACATCAATCTCTAGCTTCTCAAGTGCAAAATGGATATTGTATTTCTTTCCGTTACACAAGCCTTGAGCCTTATGTCCTTAGGTGTCCTTAGCATTGTCAAATAGTTTATAATTTCTAAGTTATACTTCCTTTATGCAAACTCATTCCTGGGTCTTAAGTGGTTTTCCACATTTTATTCTTTCTCTATTCAGGGATAGAGGTGGCAAATCTTAATGTGGCTTTGTATTTAAATCTATTTATGTTCTTTTCTTAGAGATGATCTTTGCTTTAGTCTTATAATAAAAAAGCTTTATAGCCATCTCTTGGAGATTTTTGTTTCCAGTAAATCGTCTTTTATGTTTTGGCTGACACAATTTACCAATTTTGATTATTTAATCTGAAAATATTGATAAGATGTAAAAGTCATTTAAAATCCTACTTGGGGTGCCTGGGTGGCTTGGATGGTTAAGCGTCTGCCTTTGGCTCAAGTCATGATTTCCAGGTCCTGGAATGGAGCCCTATGTCAGGCTCCCAGCTCAGCGGGGAGTCTGCTTCTCCCTTTCTCTCTGCCTCTCCCCTTGTTTGTGCTCTCTCTGTCTCTCTCTCTTTCAAATGAATAAATAAAATTAAAAAAAATAAAATAAAATCCTCCTACTTATTTTAGAATTATGTAATGAAGTAAATGAAACTATGCATCAATCACCTTCCTCAAAGGTAATTGCTATCAATTTGGTGCATGTCCTTCTTAAATTTTCCCTAAACTGACATTATAAAAATGAGTATAATATTCGTATTTATAATAAAACATATTTATATGCAATTTCACCTTACATATGGCCATATGTGTGTGTGTGTGTGTATATATATATATAGTGTTTATACACATATACACATGATCATAAAATGAAATTGTGGTATACATATCTGTTTGCAAATTATTTGTTTATGCTTATGAGCACCTACTGAACATCTGTATGGTTCAACATATATACATTTATCTTACTCTTTTTAAATTATTGCATAGAGTTCCATTGTATGTATACTGTGTATTATTCCACCAGCCCTCTTTTGGCATATTCTTATTTCTATATTTTCTTATTCAATTACTGTTGCAACAAATATATAGATACAGATATATTTTAAGCACTAATCCTATTATATCTTTAGGATATATACTTAGAAGTGAATTGCTAGATTTAAGGATTTTTTTTATTTTAATAAATACTGAGTGATATTTGCAAATATTTTATAAAGGAGATATTACACTATGCTATTTATGATTGGTTTTACAACTTATATAGAAAATAATTTCCTTGAAAACTATTACTTAACCAAAATAGCTCAGGGGGTATTGCTACACAAGTAACCTCATATATGATATTTATATCAGTAATGCCTAAAATATATAACTATATAAATATTTGTGTATTCATGCAAAAATCTTCATTATGTCTCCTCTAAATTAAATTCAATCAGCAAGAAAGAGATGGACCTTTGAGACTGGACAGACACAGACTTTGAGTGATGTAGTAACTGAATGTTTTAGTTATGCGGGCCATAAAATCCTCAGATGTGAAGAACTCTAGTAATAGTATGATGTTAGTAGAACTTCACCAATCCTCTAAGGCTACTATCTCATTTTTTATAACCATTCTTGCAAATGAGTTGATCAACAACATTTTGCTTTTATTTGTGGTTCCCAGTGAATGAAGGAAACATTCTATTTATGAACTTAAATCACAAAGTGTTTCTCCCTTGATCTTTTCTCTCTTTGAGATGAAGCTCTATGTAGCCCACATCATCCAAATCCATTGTTCAGTTTTTCATGCCACAGAGAATTGCATTCTGTGACTTCCCTGGAATGCCATGGACACTGGTCATGTTATAATAAAGAAAATAAGACCACACACCTCTCTAACGCTTGGTATGGTGCCAGTGGAGGTTTCCTGGCTAAAATTTTATGGCAGACTGTTAATAAGAAAGTCTGTCCAGGTTCATACCCACCCTTATCTTAAGCATTTTCTTTTCTTTAAAGTTTTTATTTATTTATTTATTTGAGAGAGAGAGCGTGAGCAGGAGGAGGGGCGGAGGGAGAAGCAGGCTCCCCCCTGAGCAGGCAGCCTTACAAGGGTCTCAATCTCAGGACCCTGAAATCATGACCTCAGCCAAAGTCAACCGCTTAACAGACTGAGCCACCCAGGCATCCCTTAAGCATTTTCTTTTCTTTTTTTTTTTCCCTTAAGCATTTTCTTATCCCATAAGAAAAATGATGCATAATGTCAGTATGTGTCAAGGTCAGATAGCAGAAATACAACAGAATTATTTTTATATTATAATGTAAATTATTAATAATATAATATATTGATATGTATGTGTGTGCATATAAGAATGCAGGTTTGTGTGTTACATATTGTTTATATTCATGTAGCATATTTGTGTTTCATTCTTCTTTCACAAATGGAAAATACATTTATGAATAATTTTTGAGAAATAATGATAGAATACTTGGATGGAACATAAGGCCAAACAAAAAAAAAAAAAAACCCAAAAATAGAAGAGAAAGAAAAAAGACAATGTGAGCCAGCAAGGGACTTGTTTCTATTACTACAAGATGGTAAAAAAAAAAAGTCCAGGGGCGCCTGGGTGGCTCAGTTGGTTAAGCGACTGCCTTTGGCTCAGGTCATGATCCTGGAGTCCCGGGATCGAGTCCCGCATCGGGCTCCCTGCTCAGCAGGGAGTCTGCTTCTCCCTCTGACCCTCTCCCCTCTCATGCTCTCTCTCTATCTCATTCTCTCTCTCAAATAAATAAATAAAATCTTTAAAAAAATAAAAATTAAAAAATTAAAAAAAATAAAAAAATTAAAAAAAGTCCAGGATTTGTTTATATGCACAGATTTTTTTTATAGTTTCTTAAAGACAACTAAGTTTCATGTGCATTCTACTTCCTTTTCTATACCTCTTCATAACCTATTTATTGATATGCAGTCATTCCAAAACATTTTGTTGAAAACATAAGTATATATTTAATTGGTCGCTGTGATGACTTTGCCGGATATTCCACCAGAGTGAGATTTCTTTGTTTTTCAGAATCTGCCCTTGAAGAAGATTCCGTGCAAAGCCACTGCACCCTCAGGCTCCTTTTTTGCCCGAGACAATACAGCAAATTTCTTATCCTGGTGCCGAGATTTAGGGGTAGATGAAACGTGTCTATTTGAATCGGAAGGTTTGGGTATGTATTTCCTTCAGAATTCTAGCTGATAAAATTATTATGTATCTTTGTTAGTCTAACTATCAAACCTTTTTTTGTGTAATGTCATTTCATAGATTATCTTGAAAAAAATTCAAAGTTTGTTGTCAATTGCAGGTTTGTTGTAAACATGAATCTTTGAAGGTAGAAAATGCATGGCTTTTACTGTTGGTACTTTGTGCACGAAAAGGTAGGAATATAAGTAGCACAATTCCAAGCTAAAATCAAGTATATACAATGCCAAAATGGGGGATATTTGGAAAATGGAGGCTTACATTTTGCCACCGGACTCTAACCTGGACTAGAAAGAGAGCTATATATGCTCCAGCATATATAGCAATAGTAAAAAACTATTGTTTTTTACCTCTACCAAAAGGCTGAAACACCATTTCCTATAAAGTCTATCTTTGTTGAAACAGTTTATTTATTTATCTATTTTTAGTGAGTTAAAAATCAAGTAAGCAAGCAGGAGATTGGAATAATTGAAGATGATAAAATAAAAGATATGTATCTTAGTGTCTAAACCTACCCAGATAATTGTGGGGTTCTTGTCTTATTTTGCCTTATGATTGAATTTTGGCAAATCCACGTCCAGACCACAGACCAAGCTATTGCATTTCCTTGGGAGAAAACAGACATTGTTCAGTGTTTCGACATTACTTGATATGCTACCGTTAAATGTTCAATCCTCCTGTATCAGCTTTGCCCAGAACAGCTCTCATATGGAGAGTATTGGAATTAAAACCCCCTTCTAATGAAATAGAACTGAGTGAAGAAAGGAGGGGGGAGCCTTGGTTCTTTTGCCTGAGGCTTTAAAAATCAATCCACAAAAATCACATAATACCAAATATTAGCATCAAAGTAAGCTGAGCATCCATCAGAGAGAACAAGCATACAAATTGCCTTCCACTCAGAATACCCTTTGCCCCTAGGCCTCACAAAACAACATTTCCCTGCTGAACCTAGGAAATTGACAGTAACAGCTAAAATCTTACCATTTTATATGCCTATGGAAATTTGTATGTGCACTAAGAGGAGTGAATGTGATATGGGAAAGATTGCCATCAGATTTCTGAGAATTCTCTCAACAGAGAAGAAAATTATGTGAATTTAGACTAGGAGAACATTTTATACCTGAAGGAAAAAATAAAGAGTAATTTCTCAGGAGCCTACTATGTACAATAGTGTGCTCCTCCAGTGATTGTTATAGAAATGGACTTTGACTGCTCTTACTATTTCCTCACATTAAAGTAAACCAAACTTGGGGGCAGATGTGTGTGTATGGATATAGCCCTATTTCAGTCTGATGGCAATTTTACGAATAGATTTTAACTTTCAGGTGTCTAGGAAACTGTCGAGTGAAGAATTATAGGAAGGGAGTGTCATGGAATTATTTGCAAAAAATATCTTTGAAAGATCAAATGAATGAATGAATGAACAATAAATAAATTCAGATCTTACTCACAAGGAGTATACTTTTCATGTGTGGACCAACAACATCATGATTTAAAGTTCTCAAGTGCCCCTGCATTGCTTAAGGAACTGCCTCATGGGGAAACTGCCCTATTGTTTGTGAATTTATCAAACAGGTTTTCATTTAAGAAGCATCTTTTAAGAAACCAAACAGATGAACATAGGGGAAAGGGGAAAAAAAGAGAGAGGGAAGCCTAAGAGACTTTGAACCACAGAGAACAAGAGGTGGGTGGGGGATGGGCTAAGTAGATGATGGGCATTAAGGAGGGCACTTTTGTGGAGTACTGGGAGTTATATGTAAGTGATAATCACTAAATTCTACTTTTGAAACCAATATTACATTATATATTAACTAACTAGAATTTAAATAAAAATTTGAAAAAGGAAAAAAATAAGCATCTTTTTCAGTGACAACCATAGGCCAAGGTGGATGACTAGAAGCTGTCAGTGGGAATACCTTGTCTCAATTTCCACCCTGCCTCTGAGTTCCTTTGTTAGTTGAACTAATAAAACTTTCAGTTGGAAACCGAGAAGCTTGGATGGCTTTTTAAAACCCCATTCAGATAAGTAATGCATTTTATCTTGAAACAATAAAGCCTAAAGCAACTGTATAATAATGGCCCTGGTATATAAATACATACTCTGCAGAATATAAAATTATGTCAAGATGAATTTTGAGATGGCCTAGTTCTTCACTCTGTTTGAAAAAAAACTTGACTTTATAAAAAGAAAGTCCCAGATAATTTATACATAATAGCTACTATTTTGTTCAAACATCTTTCATTTTGATTACCTTCTATATTATAACTTAGCTTATAACTTGCAATGAAACCAAGTTTTCAAGTAATTTTTAATCCTCTCAGCACCAAACGAAAGCAGATAGTTAGGCTTTCTGGTTTGCTGCTCAATGAAAAGACAAATTTGAAATTTCTGCTGCTCAGAATAGGACATGAGGTGAGGTATAATACGCCCCATGGAGACAGAAGAAGGGAGCCAATATTACAGCATTGACTTCAGGATTATTCGGAGAAAGGAAACAGCTGTGCCCATATATGTTAATGATAATCAAGAGGAAGGACAATGAGAAATTCCATTTCCCCAAGTGGAACCCTTTCTTCTTGGATTTTTCTTATGATTCACTGTGGGTAAAGAAGTGATTAAGCCACGGCTGATGGCCTTGGTCTCTGTATTGTAGAATTGACTTTCTTGCAACAATAACACAGTGTACCCTGCTTGATGTCTTTTCACACTTCACTTTTGAAAGGGAATTTAGGGCAAGGGTTTTTGTTTTTTTTCCTGCCTCAAGATTTCATTTCAGTAGCACACAAGATGAAGTGCATCCTTTGTGTCCCAGTGTTTTGAATAGCAAATAAAATGAAAAGATGCCCTGATGAAGGGGGAAAATCTGTTTGAATGAATGATAAAGTAGATCACTGTCCTGAGTGTGTAACAAGAGGCTTCTGTCTTTAGCTGTTCAAAGGTCTTTGCCTGCATAAAGCGTTCTTATCTTTGTGGCAACTGATATGCTACCCTCTGTTGCGGAGTTTTTTTGGGCAGTTATTTGCAAGGGGATCTTGCTTCACAACTCGCTCGATCTGTTCTCTTTCCACAACAGCTAATGACAAGAAAGCTCCGTGGTAGGGAAGGTATGCTGGGCATGAACTGGGGAGCATGGATAGCAGCTTATCCCATATGCTTCCCTCATGTTTCTTGCCTTTTTGATTCTTGACAGATAATTTTCGATGCCACACAACAGCATCACATACAGAGTATAACCTGTAGCTTATCTTCAATGAAATTCTTGGTAATTTTTCCTCTGTGAAATGTCAATTCTCAGATCATAAATTCACTATATCTTGAATAGTGTTTCAAAAAACAGTCAAGAGAAAAATGAACAAAGGTCATGAACAGCCTCGTCATAGAAGGCAAAAAAAATCTAGGAGGGCACGTGATGTGGTGAGCACTGGGTGTTATACGCAACTGATGAATTATTGAGCTCTGCATCTGGAACAGAAGGATGTACTCTATGTTGGCTAATTGAATTTAAATGAAAAAATCTAATAAAGATATAAAAATGTTGGACAGCTTAGCAATAAGGTAAATGCAAATAAAAACTATGAAAAATTAGCAAAGATTGAGAAAATTATACATTTAGTGTTGAGTATGTAGAAAAATAGGATCTATACATTGCTGAAGAAAACTAGAAATTGGTATGCCTTCTTTAGAGGGCAATTTGACATTATATATCAAAGACCTCACAAGTGTTTATGTTCTTTTGTCAAATTGGTATACTTCTAAAAGTTTATCCAAAGGAAATAAGTAGAGGTAGGCACCAGAATGTTCACTGAAATGTTTTTTGTAATAGTAAAACAAATGGAAATGAATGGAATCTGTGACAGTTAGTGATATCTTAAACCAACTAGAGTCATCATCCATAGATACCAACCAAAAATAATATTCTTGAGACTATTTAAGAATATAGGAAACATACAATATGCTATGAACATGAGGTCACCCATTCATATCTAGTAAATAACAATAAAATATATTCAGAATTTGAAGGAAAGATAAATAGTAATTATGTTGTAAATGATATCATTTTCTTTTTCAGTTACCTATTAACAAAATTAGAGAGTAAACAAGTATGGCATGTAATCTGAAGGATGAACAATTAATTTTATTTATATTAAGATACAATTTGAACATTTTAATTTATATTTTATATATTATTTATATATTTATATTTACTTACATATAAAATATATTAATATATATTAAATATATGCTTATATTTATATTAAGATACAATTTGAACCAGTTTGCGTAGAGCATTATTTGTTGCCATAAAATTTTACACATTGAGAATTATAATGGCAATTTTGTATTATTGAGGTTAAACTGACATTTCAAGTGATTATAGACTTTTACACGGCTATACAAACAGATGACCTATATAGATCTTTGTGTGCTCTGTGGAACATGCTTTAACACTATGGGTCTATACATGCTCAGCTATAACCCCCACTGTTCCAAATCAGGTTGATATATAGGTCAGTGACTAGAGGAGATTGGATTTTTTCATGTCTCATAATTGATTTCATTGGATTCCTTAAAAATATTTAGGATTGTGCTTCAGGTTAAAACGATGAACATGAATGTTTCCTTGAACTTAATAGTGTATAGTTTATCAGCCTAAAGACAAAATATCCCCCCAATAATTATTTTAAAAAGAAGTGAACTTTACTTCTAATGGTGGAGTAAAGAAAAAATATTTAGAAGATTTCTAGGTGTGAAAGCATTTCTGTTTTCAGTTTGACAGAGGCATAAAAGTTAATAGAATGTATTGATATTCCCCCTAAATGTAATATTTTTTCCAAGGTTAAATACTTTAATACCTTTTCTATCATAATGCTGAATATTTTGATATGGCTCATTTTTATCATTTAAATTAAGACCAAAAGTCTATGATTTATTCTCAATCTTAAAAGGTTTTACGTTATGAATCCTAA